CCATGCACCTCATGCCGGCCGGCACTTTGTTAACGTTTAGCGGATCCGATTCTTTCCTTGATTTCTGACCATTGGCCCTACACTTATTTCCTATGTCTTGAACGATTTTCCTACATTATTCGCCCTTCCACTTTGCATTGGGCCTGATCGCTATGATACCACGCCACCACCTGGCAGTTCCTCTTCTTGGATCTTTCCTTATTTTCTCCTTACTGTCTTTTAATCCTCCCTCCCTATGCTCTTGTATAACAAGCGAGGGAGCGACTCAACTCCTCGCCGTACAATGTACATATTGATGTACGGCTCGTCAGAAGGGCGATAATCCCCATGCATGGCAGCGACCCCAAAAGCGATCGCCCTGAGTGGGCAGATCTAATAGCTTTGGGAGTGTCGATGCAGCTGTACATAAACAAAACTCCCGCGTCGGTGAACTGACATCTAATGGGAAGGCCGGGGGATTAAGAATTAAAAGATAATTTCCTTTGTTGGAATTGAATGAAATGACTTGAAGAATTCGCTTGCATGCTCGAGTAATTTTAATGGATATCACATCACGTAGTGTACGGTGTAATGTAGTTAGTTATGCGCATCCACTTTATATACTTGCGGGGAGTAGCCTGAGGCAACCTTAATTTTAGTCTCCGCCGCCTCCTTCGATTCCGCTCCGCCTCCCACATTTTATTCCACTCCGTCGAGCTCTCTTCCGCCCCAATGCTACGCGGCGCTTAATGAATTGTACCCCCCACCATGGATATCGACGACATCCTTGCCTCCGTTGACCGCAACGATGTTTCGTCTCCCGAATCCGCCCAACTGGACCACCAGCTGCTCACGCGCTTCTGGGTCGCCGAGCGCGGCGTGTCAGAGCTTCTCCCATGGCCGGCGGCCTGATGAACCGAATGATGGAGCGAGTCCGCAAGCAGGTAGGCCCACCACCAACCTCCAACCCCCGGCCTCCCAGCCCATTCTAACCCAACCTCAAACCCCGTACAGATCGAAACAATCGAAGACCTAGCCGCCTCCTCCTCAGACCCACCACCACCACCACCAGTAACAGCAGCAACCCAACCCTAAACCTCAAACTCTCCATCCTCCAAACCGACCTCTCCAGAACCCAATACCTCCTCCGCTCCATCCTCCGCCAACGCCTCTCCAAACTCACAAAACACAGCATGCACTACCTCCTCCGCATCAGCTCCGCCTCCCAGCAACAAACCCCGGCCGACTCCCAACCCAACGACCAGCAGCAGCCCGAAGACTCCATCCCCGACCTAACCGCCGTGCAGGACCCCTCGCCGCTGTCGACACAGGAGCTGGGCTTCTTGCGCGCGCACCAGACGCTGCTGGCGGGGCACTTCGGGGCGTCGTTTTTGGGTTCCTTTCCCGCGCAGCTGAGACGGCTCGATGATAATGCCGGCGGCGTGAGTATGGTGCAGGGCCCGGATGCCAGGGAGGTCGTTCTCGTGAGGTGTCTGGTCGAGAGGGTCGGCGTTGTTGTGCCGCCGGGCGATGGCGTCGAGGTTGAGACCGTCGGCGAGGAGATGCGCATGGGCGATGTTTGGGTCGTCAGGTGGGAGGGGGTCAGGGAGGCTTGGGAACGGGGGGAGGTGGAGGTTCTTTGATCTCTCTTTCTGTTTCTTTCTGCTTTGTTTGTGATGGTGGTTGTTGGGGTGGATGGGGTTTTGGTTGGTGTGTTGGTGGTGGAATGCATGTATATATGTCGCTGATGCATCGTGGCGTTTGGGGTTGGTCACTTGTGATACCTGATTTTTCTTGTTGCATTTCGGATATAGAATGTATGTATGTGGTGCTTGTTTATGTTTATGGGGTATGCTAGGTTGAACTTGGCTTGGATGTTGTGTTCCGTAACTGATGGTGTCACTATACATCGCTCAGCTCAGCCTGGAGCGTCGTTCTTCATAACCCTATTCTAGTAATTCGATATTCTCCGAGGATGCAGTAGAAGTAAAAACGCCACACGATCTATAGCATGAACAATATCCGCCGTTGCGCCTGACCGCTAAGCCCAAATCACTGTCCATGCACAAATAACAACGCCCAAGAAAGGAATAAAGGAATTGGCACGCAATTGACCAGGAGTCATTCTGTGTAGTAAACAAAGTGGCTAGGGATTCTTAAGCGACGTATCCATAAGTGGGCGGGTCTTCTCCGACTCGTTCGAGATACTCGCGGTCGATCAAGCTCTCGATACGCCGCTTGATCATGTTCACGTCTGGAACGAAACGAGCGGACAGTTGGCTTAGGACCTCGCTCATGAGCTTGGAGTGGACCAGTGTTTTTCGTTGTCTAGATGGTGGGGATGTAGTTAGCTTTCTGCTATGATCGGATATATGGATTGGATTCACTTACTTCATGATTCGCACGACTGCAGCTTCGATGCTGGCGCCGCGCTCATCGTTCATTCGCTTCTCGGTTTCCTTTCTTTGGTCTTGGTTCTCTACCTTGTTGGCGCTGCCGCTGACAACACCGATACGGACTTTCATGAACGGACTCTGGAAGTCGTTGTTGAAGACGAATCGGTCGGTAGGTTTGACGTCCTTGCTCATGGGATCCTTCTTCAGGACCCGTGTCTTTGGCGCAACTGCAAGCGACTGCAGGTTGCGAATTAGATCATGGTCTGGGATCCTTGTCCGGGTCTGAATCTCCTCATATGTGAGAGACTCGCCCTGGGGAACGTCGTTGAAGAGTAGCAGGATTACCATGGCATATGTGGAGACATTAAGCTCATGGCGCTGGACCTTGCCGTTGGACCTGTGGAACGTGGCCCGGATATCTGCCGTGCCCATACTGGCCTGCCATGACAGCTTCCGGCCATTGTGCTTGCTAAGATAGAACTGTTCGAAGCTTTGTCTCAGGTTGTCGATTTCCTTGGGGAAAATGCAAGAAAGCTTAACTTCTTCGCCTTTAATACTTGACATGGCCTCCATGGGCCACATAGTACTCGTCAGGACATTGATTTCTAAATCAACGGGTTTCTGGTCGGGATCACCTGCCCGCCGGATATGCTCCTTGTAGCTAGCAGTCAAGTCCTCAGAAACCGTCATGTCCTTGAACATGGATTCAAGGCGTTGTGTGAACTGGTTTCCGACCTCCATCTTCATCTTGGATATCATCTGCCGTTCCGCATCCATGCTAACTGAGCGCTTCATCAGAAGACGCCGGGATAGGTGCTTCTTGTAGTACGCCTCAAAGAGATCCTTGTCCTTCACATAGCGTAGAAGGGTAATGCCGTTGTCCAAAAGAGCGTCCACTTCAGTCTCCGTTTTGCCTTTAATGCCCTTTTTCAAGTTCTCATCAAAGAAGAGCGACAGATACTCTGAGCTGCGCGTGTTTGAGTTGATAAACTCTGAGAAACTCGTCGTGATGGCGCTTTGCATCGTCGGGTCGGACCGGAATGATTGTTCCCAGATCTTGTCGAACTTGGTCTTCAACCCTAAGACATCATCGACCCACTTGATAGCGGACACCGTCTGCAGGTTCACAGGCTTCTCTGCAGGTTTCTTTCCACCCTCGGCGGTCTTTTCTGCCGATTTTGTGGGTTGAGCCTGTGCTGCTGCGATTGCCGACTTATTGATCTCATCACCCATCTCCACTATGCGCTTTTGAACGGCAACAGTTAAAGGAGTCTTCTTACTGTCCACCCTTGCGCTCAGTAGATAGACATTTCGTAGAACATCCATGCGGTCATGGTCGAGCATATTCTTGACACCAGTGCCCTCCAGGTTGATAACTTCCGCAATGTTTGAGCCGATCAGCTCTTTATCTAGTACGTCTTTAATCTTCGGCTCTGACAGTGGTGACAGTGTAGAGAGACAGCGCGCCCCTTCTTCCGCTATGCGGTCGGAGGCAGCTTTGCAGAATGTAGCAGCGTCTCCCGTCTCCAGCAGCCGCCGTCCTTCTGCTCTGTAGAAGACTTTACTCGTCTCAAGGAATGCCGGCTCGAACATAGTTAGGTAAAGCTTCGATGATTCCTCTTCAGTAATAGTTTCGTAAAGACCCTCCAGCATATAAATGCAATGCCGAATCAACGGCCGGTTTATCATCTGCCCTGACCGTTCCAGCTGGATCATAAAGAGCACAGTAGACTTGAGCACATCTGCGACCGTCGACTCTGAATCTGCACGGACCACAGATCGTAGCACAAAGTCACGAAATAAAGCCATAGATGCGACGTATATCGAAGGCTTCTTATGGTCTGCCGAAACGACTCGATCCTAGAACAACCCGGTCAGCTTTGATCTGTCAGACACATCAGCACGCGGCCATACCATGTACATGAGAACATCTGTAATCATTCCCATGGAGATCTGGTGATCCTCCCAGGCTTCCCTTAATACATCAAGAAACTTCTCTCCGGTATCCCTCCGCTCATTTTCCAGATCCTGGATTTCGCATTGGTCCTTCCCCTGGAGTAGAACCGATGAAATTGCCGCAGTCACCCGCTTCTGCACTTCGGTATCAAGCCATTCTTGCTCAAGCTTCTTGACCCGTTCATATAGCTCGTCACCGCGCATCATCAGCACGATGTTGTAGGCATTCCGGTATAGCTGCTCGAAAGAGAGATTGGACGCATCTTTCGTATGGATCTTCTTCAAAGACGTTGACAAGCCTTCCCAGTTTGTTTCAAAGTCATCGGTTTTATTGGTGTTCAGACCCTAATGCATCTTCGGTTAGTTGAGCCACTTCGATATAGTGCCGCTCAATGGCTTTCATAGTCCGAAGTACCGTAGACGGCGGCGTAGGACTTAATCCTTCTCCTGTTAAAGGGTCGGGATGATTATAACGGATCAGGAATGATAGCTTACCCTCCGCGGGGCACGGATCTTTTGCCTTGCCCTCATAGCCATCTTCCGCTATAGTGGCACTTTGCCATCCACTGCCTCGGTGTTGGTCTTGCGCGCGGGGCAGTCGAAGGAGCAGCTGGACTTGGGTGGGCACAGATTGAGTGGAGATTCAGACCTAATGTGGGATTTGCAAGCCTCAGTCAAAGAAGAGACCATCCAAAACAAACTCCTTTCAGCAGTTTCAGCGCTTCTTCGAAATAAGTGTGGAGTAGATGTACTGCAGACTGATACCGCGGAGGGCAGAGAAGGTGGAAAAACAAAAAGTCCGGCGCAAGTTGAACACTTTCTCCGTCATTGCCCTCCGCCGTTCTCACGACCATACCTTCAACTTTCGGGTTTCTACTAGGTCCTTGGGCAAGCAATTCCAGAGCCTAATACTTTAAGTCGGCGACTTTCATACCAATTCAATAGACTCATCTTCACGACCTCGCCATGCGCTCATTCACATCTTTCCCCCGAGGCCTCCGTGCCATCCAGAGCTCTCTTCCCCGAACTGCCATCTCGCGCCCTACATCCAGACCTTTCTCTCAACTCATCAACCGCTCCACCCGATCATCCCCCGCACTTTCCTGGGCAGCGGTCAGAATCTCCGTACCGGCCTCTACACTCCGTCACAACTCTAGCTCTGCGAGGCCTCTCACGGATCAGTCCGCGGACGCCGCCAGAGATGCGGAGAACGAAGAACAGAACAGGAAACGCCGGGAACAAGAACCGGCCTACCAAATTACCTTCACATGCAAGCCGTGCGGCGAGCGCTCGTCTCACCGGATGTCCAAGCAGGGTTATCACCGCGGGACGGTCGTGATCCGTTGTCCGTCCTGTAAGAATCGTCACATCATCAGCGATCACCTCAATATCTTCTACGACAAGAAGACGACATTGGAGGATATCTTGGCCGAACAGGGAAATAAACTGAAGCGGGGGTATGTGGAAGGAGACATGGAATTCTGGGATGATGGATCGGTGACCCCGAAGGAGGGTGAGGAGGCGAAGTCCGATCAGGGACAGTTGCCTTGATCTATCTGTCCCTGTGGGATTTTAATGGATAATGAAAAGAGGCCTGGCTGTCGGTTGCATATCTACATTCGAAGAGTTGCGCTACCAAAAGTCTGCATAGAGTTGCTGGTTCAAAAGATACATGGGTATACAGGCGTTGTTGGTTGTCCCGTTTAGATACCTCTGTGACATTATATACACTCTGCTCTTGCGACCTGTACTATTATTATAACTTCGATGGATATATTTTGTACTATAATAGCAAATAATCTATTCCGTTCCCCTCCGCTCAACGCCTTTTTTTTGTATAAACCTGTGTGTGAACATGTACAATCATGAATTCCACGTCTCTTACCAGCCTCGTCTCTTGCTGCGGTGCTCCATTCCTTTCTCCTTTCTCTTATCACGCTTGCGGTCGTTCCTCCGCTTCTTCTCACGTCCAAACCTTTCCGGCTCCGTCACTGCCTCAATACGTCTCTTAACACGACGGCCTTCACGTTTCTCCTTGATCTTCTCCTGGACGAGGGCCATTTGCTTCACAAACTCAGAGGTACCCAGCTTCTTCTGGATGAGGTCCAATACCTCATGGCAGTTCGACACCAGAGCCTTGTACGATTCTCTGAAGACCGGATCTGAGGAGCGGGGTGGCGGGATAGATGAATCAGTCATATGCTGAAGGGGGATGAGGATAATAGGGATAGATGGTTGGATCTGCTCTGCCTCAAGGTGGCGGCAAAGAGCTGCCAGAAGACCGATGGAAGCGGTCTTGGGGATCAACGATTCTGCCCTAGTGGTAAGAAGCTCCCTGCGCAGTACAGAAGACACTTGCTCGAAGATGTACCGAATAGCAGGCTTGGATGAGTCGACCGGCTGCTCCTCCTTATTCTCGTCATCGGATTCTTCACTGTCGCTAGCATCTGATTCGGCAGCCTTGTCACCCTTTCGAGTGAACTCGAGGCCATTCTGAGCGCAGCAGCGCGTAATGAAAATGATGTTGCGAACGGTTTGCATCGCAAGCTCCTCGCTGACGGCTGGAGTTCGAAGGCAGCGTACACTGGCACGGATCAGTTGCAGCATGGCGTCTCTATCCAGGGCCAATCCAGAGGCATTTTCCAAAGGCAATGAGCTGTAGCCATTAGTGGCATTCGACTTAGCCAAGTCCGCAAGCCAGGTTCCAACAAGGTTAGAAGCAGATGTTTTGACCCAGGCATGCGGGTAGAAGAGACATTCTCGGATAGCTGCCCAGTTCGTGGCACTTTCTTTGGCGAGCGCGATCGCAGGGACGCTCTTGCAGAGCTTTGCGTAGAGCTGGAGAGAGTAATAAAGCGTCTGCCAATTCTCAGTATCTTCAGCTTCTAGGACTGGCTGCATGATTGAAGGGAGAAGCTCTCTAACAAAACGAGCCTCCTTTTCCTTCGTCGTCTCTTCCGCCTCAAAGTAAATTCGCATAGCGTGTAGTCCAGTGCTGGTCAAAAGCAAGTTGTCTGTTTGTTCCAGCCATGAATGCAGAGGCACGAGAATGGTCTTCATCGTTTCGTTGTCTGCTCGGCTGTAGAATTGACTCAGCAAGGTTCCTGCGAGCTCTCTGCATTCTGCAGCATCATCATTCGCCATGACGATGACCACTGGCAAGAAAAATGTACCGACTATGTCTTGAGCGAGTTCCTGTCCAGTCTTCGACAGCAGAGTATGGATGGCTTCCATGACCGATTGACGACCCTCCGAGTGCTTGTACTCCAAGTTTTTGGCCAAGAAAGCCAGTTGTTTTGCCCACCTGTTCTTGGCCTGGGGGTACTCAATGAGGAAGTGAATGTATACACCTCGCGCTAGATCACGCGCAGAGCGGGTCTGGTTGGTGACCATCATGGTGGCAATATGGTCAACCAACTCGTACATTTCAGTGACAACGAACTTCCTAGACATAACAGCCCTGATGAAGTTGAACGTGATGCCTTGACGATCCGGCTCTTCAATGTCGGAAGTGAGGCGCTGCAGCAGATATGAAAGATGCCCGTCCCTGAGCTTTGTGGACTTTCTCTCCCGAAGCATAGCCGCAATCAACTTCAGCGATGCTTGGGCAGCTTCAGTGTTTGTACTCGGCGCCTCCTTGATGATCTTGACAGCCTCAGTGAGATACACGTGAGAGTTGTTATCAATCTCCGCAAGAGGAAGCTTGACCATGGTAGATAGCAGTCGAAGGGCCGAGATCTTGACTTCCTCCTGCCCTTGGACTAGCGAATCTCCAATGATAGGGAGGAACCCAGCCACATTGGCTGGCGTGAGTAGTGAGTCAAACTTGCTCAAGACCGAGCGAAGGACATCAAGGGCAAAACGAGTCAACTTGTGGACGTAAGAAGAAGTGGTGCCTCGTTTCTCGCCCCGCTTTGCTCCATGAAGCTTGATCAGAAAATGTTCTTCGGAAGCAGACAAAGCTTTCTTTTCAGTCTGCACCGGCCCCTGGTACGACTCCTTAATGACTTCATAGCAAAACATCAGGATGTCACGGTTTTCTACACCTGGGTTTCGCAAAAGACCAATACCGATTCTCCGCAAAAGCTCGTCAGCTTTCCTCACAATGATGGAGGTAAGCTTCTCTTTGAGGAGTGATTGCAAGGGCCTGATCAGATTCGCCAGATTCCGAACGGTGGAATTCTTCGCCAGCAGTTCAATAGAGTCATAACTCTTGTTGCTCTTCACTTCTTTCATCTTGCTCACGTAGTCCTCTGCATCCTTCTCCTGACCAACAGTGCCAAAGGTATCGTCCATCACCACAGCGCTCAGGTCTGCCAGACAGTAATCCAGGTCCCCTTGCTTGAATTCGTCCGTCGTGGCCACAAGCATAGAATGGACAGTGAAAGACAGAACGTGCAGCTGGTAACCCTTTGTGAGGGTAGTCCGGAGTTCCTTGAGTATGTAGCCGAAATACACAGGGCCCAATAGCAAGGCGATGTCGTTCAAAGTCTTCCTAGCAGTGTCTCTGGAATCTTGAGCGCGGCTCTTAAGAATGCTGCAAACGTCCAGAAGGACGGCTGGTAAGCGAATAGTCATGTCTTGCTCTGGCAACAATTTCAAAAGCTTGATGGTTGTCACTGAAGCTGGCAAACGCAAGCTCATCTGTGCTTCATCTTTATGGTGAACAAAGTTTGTCAGGAAGGGGGTAAAGTTCGTCGTCAGTTCGGATGCAACCTTGGCAGCAGAAGGAATTGTGCGAGCCAAAGTACACTGGGAAGGTACTGAAGTCTCAACTCCCTCCATTTGGTCTTCGGTCGTTTCCTTGGGCGCATTGATTTGATTCATTGCTGTGGTTAAGGCGTCAGACATTCTACCTAGAAGTCTCAAGATATTCTTTTCCATCTCTGGCTTGCTCTGCATGTAACCCTTATACCTACGGAAGATGGCCCTGAACTGGTTCCAGTCAAGCCACTCCGCAAGTGCTCCGATGGTCGCAACTGCCTCTGCGATCAGGTTGTGGGCAGCCTCATCAGCCTCTTCATCGAACACAAAATGCTCGTTAAGGGGAATGAAAATTGTGCTAATGTTTGAAGCCTGTAGTTTGCCCTTTGATGCCTCGGTAGCCAGACGTCGTAAGGCTCGCAGACGACGATGCTGTTGTATGTGGAGAACATTATTGAAAAACGAGGCTTCCTCGTCGTCATCAACAAGTAAATCACGCATATCCTGAACGTTAGGTCTGTCAGGATTCAGCTTGACGAAGTAGCCTAGCGCGGAGATAAATTCCATCCGAACTAGTTCTGATTTTTGGCGAATTCCGTTCTGTAATGAGGGGAATAAAACATCCTTTACGAGGGGCTCGAATTCCTCTACAGTGTTGTCAGTAACAAGAGTGGCCCGTTCCATGAATCGTTTCAATCCAAACGAAGCACTCGATCTGATGGCAAGCTCCTCATCGTCTTTGACATGGTAGAGCATGTTGTAGAGAACCGGCCGCCATTGCCTAGCATTGAACGTCTCCCAGAGCCCATCGTTGATCTCTCTGAAAGCCTGCAACCGACGTTCAAAGTCAACTTCCAGCCTCTTTCGAGAGACTGAGTTCAAGTCTTCACAAAGAGCAGCAACCTTGATAAGGTCGGGGTCGTGCTTGGCGAACGCAGAGAAAACCCTAGACAAGACCTCTCGGTTCGCTTCATCCTTGAAATAATCGAACATGGAGGAAACTGCATCAAACACCTCCTGGAAAAGTTTCAAATCTTCCTTAGGGTCGTACAGAGGCAAAAAGTGCTCGAGGATGCGCAGAAGGCCAGATTTCGTCTTGGGGGACACGCGGTCCGGAGGTTGACGGAGAAGATATGTGGTTATGTTAACCAAGCTTGACGTTTCCGTGGACGATTCAACACATGGGGCCAGTAGAGAAAGAGTCTGGACGCCAGATATTAAGACTGGTCGGGAAGGGCCGCGCCTCAGCAAGTTACCCATGTGAGAAAGGGTGTGGTCTAAATAAGGTGCCAAAACCACCGATCGAATTTCATCAGCAGGAATATCGCTCATTTCCTCCTGCTCTCTGAGTTCCTTCCCAGTTGCCAGTCCGACTAATGGCACTAGAATCTCATCCATGATAAACACCTTGACTTCATCACGGGTGGAGTCCACACCAAGACAGTCGACGACCTTTGTTAGAAGGGCATCATTATGTTGAACGAGATAGAAGGACGATCTGGGGGCAGTAGCCAGGTATGGAAGAGTCTAAGAAGACCAGAAACACCTTGGGTTGTTTCTGTCGCAAAGTTTTCGAGTCTAGGGTTGATCGTCTCGTTGAAGATCACACGAACGAAGGGTGTCCAGTCTCGGTCCAGCGAGACAGAGAATATAAGGTCCAGGCACTTAATGCATGTAGACCGGATATTACGCAACACTGTCAATAGCTTCGTTTCTTCGTTTTCTGGTTGCGACTTTTCCAATTCACGACATGCCCGAACGAGGCAGTAAAGGACGACTTCCATAGACCGCTCTGCGTAAGGTGTCATCTTGGTTTGGAGTGACTCAAAGACCGTTTCGATCATCCTTAATAGACCCATTTGCCTCCTTGGACTTGCCAGCTCTCGTGTGAACACTTCCTGGTCAATTTCACCATTTTGGATCAAGTGAACGTCGCCCAGAGGGCCGAAGGAGATCTGGATGAAGAGTTGGAACTCGTTGTCAGGCAACTGGGCCAAGGTTCTCAGAACTGCTTTTCGCCGTCCTGCTTGCCCAGCCTGACTTGCGCTCGCGCCAGCCTTTGAGATCATTCGTCCATAGAGAAGTCGGAGGAGAACAGGAAGGAGTTCGTCCCTGTGTGCTTCTTCAATCAAACTATCCTCCCCGCCAACCTGAACGAACGCCGAGAGCTCGTCCCTGAACCGCGATTCGTCAAGAATATTCAAAAGGTTCTCCTTGTATGGCAAAATACCCTGGGCTTTCCAAGTGAAAAGAGCTTTGAGAGCAGCCTTCTGAATCTCAGAATTTCCGTGACACAACAATCCAAGAACTGCATCGTGAACCTCGGAAGCTCTGAACAGGACACGGGGGTTTAAGTACTGGCCGAAAAGGCCAAGGAAGGCCAGTCGATCATGGAATCCCCAAGGAATGTAAGAGGTAGACTCGGAAGACTTCAGGTCAGTCGCTGAAGGGATGTCTTCTTCATCGCGTGTTGCCCAGGACAAGAACAAGGGAACAACCTGGCGCGACCGTTTTTCGGCGATGTTTGGCGCAGCATTAAGAACACGTAAAGCTTGAGTTCGAGGGGCAGCTGGGATAACCTCCGAGAATTGATGGTCTTTTTCGAGCCGCTGTGTTAACATGGAGATGGGCTCGGCGGCCTCGAAATTCGTGGTGCCAACACTTTCCACCTTGGCTGCATTAAAGCACTGGTATTCTCCAGACACGAAAGAGTCCGCATTAGGATCTTCTTCAGTGTCTTCGGCGGATGTTGGGGAACCTCTCTCTTGAAGCCACTGGATAGCCAGATCCGAAACGATCTTCTCTCCATCTGCGTGCTCGCTGATCGACTTCAAGGCAGCGGCAGAGTCATCCCACAACGGAGCCATCTTCTTTGAGAAAAGACCGAACAAGAAATTCGGGATCAACCTAGACATCCATCTCCGCGATGCCACCTGTGGATAAGACATAGCCATCTTACGTACGTGCATGGCCAGCTCTCTGGCGGACTGTAGCGTAAGGGGGCTTTCTTCAATTTGAATGGCCAAGGATATGAGGGACGTGTCGTCGCCCGACGCTTGAACGATTTCCTGCAGGATTTTGAGGGATACCAGTCTCAACTCGTGGGACGGCCCGGCAAGATTGGTGATTAGAACATCCGCGAACTCAGCGAGGGCAGGCTTGTTCAGATCAAGTTCTTTGGAGCAAGCTGAGACATAAGCCAAGGTTGCCTCGAGAAAAACGGGAAGACGAGAATATATGGAAGCGACGTTGCTGATCTGATCCCAGAGGTTCGAGTCGACTTCGCCGCAGGTCGACGCCAGCTCCACATATGCCTTGAAGCCCTGACCGACGAAAAACTTGGTTGACAGAGATGGCTCAGATTCATCGCTCTTCAGTGCACGAGATACGTGATCATGGAGACTTTGGGTCATGTCGGGGAGGAGGGAAGGTTCGGTGGACAAGGACAGGGCACTGGGAAGCTTCGAATATGCGTTTAGAAGTGTTACCTCTGTTTCCCCGGGACGCTGGGTTTTCAAGGTCTTCTTGATTTTAGCCTTCCAAGGGGCTGGACAAGAGATGTAGCCAGGCTTCGAAACTTCTGATGTGATGCAGCCGGCTTGATTCAACCGAAGCAAGATCAAACAAAGTTCGTACTCTCGCTCCTTCCATGAAGTGTTGACAAACCTATTCAAGAATTAGTAACCAATGATAAGAGGATATACAGCTTGGGGCTCTTACTTCTGGAAGTAAGGAAGTATCACGCTATGAAACCGCTCTGCGCCCCATTCCGAAAAAGTGGCGCAGAATGACAGGAAGTAGTTCGCAAGAGGCTCGCTTGTCACCGTCTCCATGGTCGTACGCATAAATGGCAGCAATTCATCCATAGGTGAAACTTGGAGGGCATATGCCACCGCAATGAGAAGTTGAGGTGTCGCGTCGGCATAGACATCAGGCGCGGCGGCGGCGGTTTGCAGGAGAAGTAACAAGGTCTGGTGTACATTTTTCCAGTTCTTCACTCGCAAGCCCTTGCGAGTAGAAACACAGACGAGGATTAGGCGGCAGCATGCCATGGCACGTCGTTTGTCAGCTTTCCGGCAACGAGCCTCAATATGTGATTTGATCGTGTCCACTATGGGCTCAAAAGTGTCGGGAGTTGTGTTATGGATAATATTGGTCAAAATGCCGCTTGCAACATCCAGGCCCAGGCTACTACGCAGGTCATCATCCGTAGACATGTTTTCCAGAACAGCGCTGAAGATATCAATGCCATTGGAGTGGAGACCATACTTGACACCCTTTATGGCGTCAGAAAACATGGCCATGAGCCCTTCCTTATATATCTCGACATTCTTATTGTCCGCTGCCGTCTGATGCAAATCGTCGAGTAAGAATGAAATCGCACGCTGAAGAGGTGTAGTGTTCTTATAATAGACTAATCCTGCCTTGCGAATGAGAAATGACATTGACTCTGCGGCAAATCGCGCCACAAATGGCTTCTGTCGTTCTTTTCCGAGATACGGGGTCATGATGCCTAGAAGCTGTCTCAGGTCCGGAACTAAGAGCCGCGAAAGGAATTTGAAAATCCATGCAAGACATGTGAAGCTCCATTCAACGACCTCAACCTCAGGGTGAGTAGCAGCTACGGAGGCCACGAGGGTCACCGAAGTAGCGAAATGCTTCTCAAATTTCGCACCGAGGTCCCTGGCAAACTGGGCAAGAAGACTCAGGAGCGGTTCCATGGACAGATGATCCCTCTTCTCAATGAATTCCACCAACAAGCTCATTATCTTTTCTTCATGATACAGGATCTGAACCAAACTCTCGCATAGCGGGTTAACGCGACGAGCAAACTGCACAAAGTTGTCGGACAGGTTCAACTCGGTCCAGTGATCGAATGCGGATCGGAAATGTGACGAGTTTTCGTCTCCTTCATCTTCCCCAAAACTCGGCCGGCGCACGCGGTGAATCGGATCGATCTTTAGCTTTGCGACACGCTGCGAGAAACCCTCGAACCGATAATTCTTTGTCGTCTCCGTTCCTTTCTTCACACGCTTCACGGGCTTTGCCCGCGAAGCTGACGACGCTGCGACCATCTTTGGGAGCGATGGCGGTGAGACGAGGCAGCGCCGTTCGAATATGGTTGTATTCCAAGAATTGGAATAAGTTGATAGTATACCTCTAGACAAAAAATTCATCGGCGCCGCAGTAGCATTATTCCGTGCGGAGATTAGCGGCGCTTGCAGGGAATATCCTCTAGCCTGATAAGGCTAATCGCAGTCACGTGGAGATTAAGCATGGTCCAAGCTCCCCGGACCGTTTTTGGCAAAAACTGTCGCATGTCCAGACGCGACGATAACGACGAGTCGGCATTTCATACTTTGAAGCCGATCCAGGAATTTGCTTTATATAGCGCTCGAAACTTCTATAGGTTTTGCGCTAGTTCAATCTTGCCTTACGCAAAGGCTTGACTGCTCAGAATACTATGGTCTGCTCGAACTTTGCATCATAGTACCGAAGCCGAACTACAACCTGAATAATGGCCTCCAAAATGTGAGTCCGAAAGCTCCATAGAGCATAACCCGCGCAGTCCACTGACACATATCCCAGAATTGTAATTGGTGGCGTGAACTGCCAGCTCCGAGAAGTATTCACGAAGCTGGCCAAACTCCACGTGAAGCAATCCTTCTCATTTGCGATTGTTGTCGGCGACCTATTCGGCGACTGCTCGACAGAGCAGGAACTGGATGAGATCTCTGCGCTGTTCCAAGGGAGTATCAGCGTGCCGCTCCCGACCTACTTCACCTTGGGTAGTCGGCCTCTCCCCACCAGGGTGATTGAAAGAATCGAGGCGAACGACGAAGTCTGCCCAAACCTTTATTTCCTGGGCAAACGCGGCACTCTCAAGACCTCAGAGGGTATCCGGCTCGTCGCTCTAGGCGGCAACCTGGAGACAGAAAACCCATCCTCCGACAAGTATCACCCAAGCTACGCAGAGTCAGACGCCAGGGCGCTCTACGGTGCCCACAGCGCCGATATCCTCCTCACCCATCAATGGCCGAAGGGGATCCGCACACGCTCCCAAGTCCCGATCCCAGAGGAAGCAACCAAACCCGAAGAAGTACAATGCATCGCAGACCTCTGCTCAACCCTAAAACCTCGCTACCACCTCTCCTCAACGGCCGAGTTCTTCTACGAACGAGAACCCTTCTTCCACCTGCCCCCGGAAGACAACCCCGACGCCAAACCCCTAACCCGCTTCATCAGCCTCGCATCCTACAACAACCCCTCCAAGCAAAAATGGATGTACGCATTCACGCTCGACCCCAAAGCCCTCCACCCATTAACCATCCCCACCGGCGCCACCGCCTCCCCGCTGGCCCCCGTGCAAACCAAACGCAAGCCCCTCACCAGCCAAAAAGAATCCTACAGCCGCTTTGCCGTCGACGACGAGGGCAGTAACCGTCCCCGCAAGCGTGCCCGCGGGCCCCCACCAGGCCCGGACCAGTGCTTCTTCTGCCTCTCCAACCCCAACATCGCAACCCACCTCATCACCTCCATCGGCAACGAAGCCTACCTCACGACAGCCAAGGGGCCCCTCCCCACCGCCAAAACCTTCCCAACGCTCGGCTTCCCAGGCCACATGCTCATCATCCCATTCACCCACACACCAACGCTATCCAGCATCGCAGACGAGCAATCGCGGCTCGCAACCTACACAGAAATGCACCGTTACCGACAAGCGCTGCACTCCATGCTCAGATCCAAAACTAACAGCTCCCTGGGCGCCGTCACCTGGGAAGTCAGCCGCGGCAACGGCATCCACACCCACTGGCAATTCCTGCCCGTCCCCGCCGACCTCATCACCCGCGGCCTCGTCACCGCCGCCTTCAAAGTCGAAGCAGAGAACCTCAAATACCCCAAGTTCGAGTCCCCGTCATCGTCCAGCGATCCCAGCGCCGAGCCGGGCGATTTCTTCCGCGTCTGGATCTGGGGTCCGAACAAGAACCCTAACTCTGACTCTGGCGCTGACTCTGGTGCCGACACGGAGACAGAGAAAACGCTGCTCTTACCGCTTGGGCCCGAGTTCAGGTTCGATCTCCAGTTTGGGCGCAGGGTGATGGCGAAGTTGATGGAGCTGGAGGGCCGGATTAATTGGAAGAATGATGTGCAGTCGCAGGCAGAGGAGGAGGCGGATGCTACGGCTTTTAAGGATGCGTTTAAGGAGTTTGATTTTACGTTGGAAGAATAAGTGTGATCTACGGGGGGTTTTTTGTAATATAGTTGTTTATAGAGACTCTTTTTGGTGTGTTTGAAAAGTGTGTGGGCTGTTTGAGCGTGTGGGTATTGGATATATATGTGAGTGTGTGCTGCGTTGTTTGTATCCATTATCTCTTGAGCTTGCCAGGGACACAGGGACAAAATGTAACACTGCCACTCTGATAACGATATATATTCGTGTCTTCTTTCTATTGGTATAGTGCTTCACTATTCAATAGGGTGTCCGGCTTATTTGAAGAGGCGAAATGGTGGAAATGCATAGACGTAATAGAATAAAACCATACATATTGTGAAGCTATCATTGTCATCCAAAGAACATAAAGTCGAGTATCCTATCAATCGTTCATCGAATAGAATAGCATGTACATACAAACACATGAAGTGAGAAAGTCATGAGACGGTCTTTTCCAACGCCAAGCCAAACAGAAGCGAAAGGTAACAGGAAAGAATAGAGGTTAGAAGAAAGCCCACATATCTCCAATTGATTGTATTGATCAATGTACATTTCGGTGATCAACACTCATAATGTACGGTGGCGTTCAGTGGTTTGGTTCTGTACAGAAAGATAAAATGTCCAAAATCACCATAAAAATGTCCACCAAATGAATCAAACGTGTCATATCCTATAGAGCAGAACGGGGTGGTGATACCAGGTAGTAAGCGTAATTTCCACACATTGTACAAGAACGCCAACTATATCGACTGTATGTAGAAGAGAGTATAAACAAATCGGCCTTGACGTTGACCCACAGACGACAATGAGCGGCTGCGATTAAATCGAGACAAAATCTCAAAACTGTCAGTTGCAATGTTTATACATCCCTGAAAGAATTGGGAACGGCCTTCCGGCCACTCTGTAGCAAGGTTGGGGGCCTGCCCGAGTCTTGTATGGTTTCATGCGGAGCGGGACTAGATGTGAATGGTGGAGGGGGCGACGAAGGAATGGAAGGAGATGTATCCCTATAAACCGGTTCGGTGTTGAGCGGGTGCGGCATTGCCCTGTAGGTGGGCTCCGGGCCAGGCGGGGGCATTGCCTGGTACGCGGGCTCATGGCCGGGAGGAGGTATCGCGCGGTAAGCCGCCTCCTGGCTAGGCGGAGACATGGTCCGGTAGACAGGCTCGTGACTGGGGGGAGACATTGCCCTATACACTGGTTCTTGAGTCGGAGGAGACATTGCCCTGTAGGCTGGGTTCGCGTTTGCAGGTGTCAATGCTCTATAGGGAGGGGCTGCGTTCGCAGGAGACATCGTCCTGTTGATAGGAGATTGGTGGATGGCAGGAGATGGTTGCCGATAAGGAATCGGACGAGCGCCATCCGTGGACAGTGCCATCCCTGGGGTTTGGTTGATGGCTGGAGATGGGTGACGATACGGTGAAGGGGAGGCATCAGTAACCGGTGAGACGGCCGTACCAATTGGCAGGTAGTTCGGTTGGGATCCATAGTTTTGAGAATAATCACCATAGGGTTGTTCGTATGGCGAGATAGGGCCTGGAGAGGGCCCGCCGGGAGAACGAGCATGATACGCGCCCTGGTCATCAGGGTGGAAGCCGGAGGAACTAAAGGCTGTATCTGTCCTGATAGGCGGTGGCCCCATGTAGCCGGCTCCGTTTGCTCGGGGTGCGGATGGCATTCGACGCGGTCTTTGGTTGGCAAGGTTCAAAGGCTCCATCTCCATTGCATCTTGGTGATGACCCGGCTCTTCGACCCTCTTGGTTACAGCACTATCCCACGTGGGCATCGCGGGCAACGCATCTTCATTGCCCTTGGAGACTGCAGGACTTGGGGGAGTGTCAAAGCGGGCAACCTGCGCCCCACGATAAGTAGGTAGCGATGGGGGAGCGGGTGGCTGATAAGGATTGTTTGTCGGCATCGGTGGAGGTTGATTGTATGGGTCATCCAAGTATTTTGGTTCCTTCTTTCGGCGGGGAGACGGACAGCAGCATGAACAGCATCCACAGCATTTACAACATTGGATGCCGCAACACAGGCAATTTATAATACATGCCAGAATGGAGATAACAATGAGCGCACCAACAATGATCGCAACGATTACGGGCCATCTGCAGTGTCCGAGTCAGATATGTGGTGAGATTACTAGAGGAAGACCATGATTCAACGTACTTGCAATACGATTTGGCCATGCAATTATCCCAACTCGATAATGTTTCCGGAGCGGACTTGAGGTCGCTCACAAAGTCGCGCGGCCATATCGGGAATGGCGTCGTATCCACCGGACTCATTTTGGCGGAATATGAATCCTGAGATTGGGTTATCCGACCCCACACGGTCAATAGTACGGGCTATATGCGATGGTTCTTTATCCAGATGTCACTCTGATAGGGAACAAGTGCACGGTACGAAGTATGCAATACGCACTTGAGCGTACAACATGTGCTGCTGCGTAACGAAGCGGACCCAACGTCAGGTTTGGATGGTTGCGGTCGCAGATGAGCGGCCCACGGGACTCAGTCTTCGGTTTCTTTCGTTGGATACGATTCCCTCTTGCATCAACGATCAAGAGTAAATGAGTGGACCGGTTTGCGACGTCGATGAAGTGTTGAAGGAATGCAGATTTTAATCGTAGTAACCTGGAATTCGAGGTACACGATATGAATTTTCTTAGAAGCAGAGAACGTCACAATTCAACCAAAAAGGAATGATTGGAAGAATCAATATATTAAAGAAAGTGCCTGTTAGTTCAGCGGTGATATCAATGCACCGCCACTAGGGGGATCACCGCAAACAGCAGAGAGGGGATGGAGAGGGAAAGAGAGAGACTAGGTGACAATATTTCGGATGAAAGATACACGGGCGGAGAAGGAAAGACGAAGTTCAGTTGCCCGCAAGAGGGTTGAAAGGGAGGGCGGAAGGAAGGAAAGGGAGGGGGAAGAAAAAGTCGAACAAGGGGAGAAAGAAAGAAGAATTATTTTTTGCCCACAGGGATCAGCGCATGGAAGAGAACCAAAACGCTCATCACAATTGCCAGAGATGGAGAAGAGGTTCGGTGGGTAGCCGATCCATTAAAAAGTAATCTCGGTGGTGAGCTTCAGGTACGCGAAGTATTACACTCACTTACTAGTACCGGTACTCCTCACATTGTAATCTGAAACTACTTCTCATCCACAATCATTGGCAGTCGCAGTGTCCACTTTGATCGTCTGGATGGTACTCGTCAATACGAATGAGTTCCCGAGCACGGCATTCCCGACCTTTATATGGAAACCTATACGGGATGGAGCAGACCTTCGTGGGTCAATGCGATCGGTCGTTAAATGTCGTTGAGGTTAAATTACTTTATTGGAGAAATGTTTCGGTGCCCCATACTTTTCTCATGCACCGTGAGCGAGTTCGGCCCCAGGCCAAAAAGCCAAAGAATTCTGCGCTCCGTCACGGGCCAATGGTTCTGCAGGAAATTACTTAGTTCCTTTTTTTAGCGTCGGCTCGTCCAGTGCAAATTACGAGTTGCACTGCGCACTTAGTAGGCATACTCCCAGAGTTCCCCTTCCCACCACAAATAGTAGCAGTAGTAGTAGCGAAAAAAACAAAAAAAAAAAAATATTATCTTCATGTCTACTCAGAGTCATAGTAATGTACACCGCCGACGCCTCGCTAGCTTTTCAGAAAGCTGTGGAAGTTTAGAAAACGAGCCAGATTCGCAAAGAAAATGCCTGCACCTCGTGCTGCAAGCCCTAACTTTGGAGTAATGTGAATCGTAATTGCTCGGATGGTCATTATAGTAATAAAAGGGAGATATCGAGGTATGATAACAAACACAAAGGAGCTCATAGACCCATCAAACATGCTCTCGGCTGCATCCTCCTTGCTGGGTATTGACAAAGAAGCAGGGGTGCAGGAGATTCAAAAAGAAGACACCAACGCCAGTGATAACAGAATCTGAATCATGCGATCATTTCAAGTTTTGGATTAAGATCTCGTTCAACGACTACCGGTCTCGACAAATGTTTATACTTTGCTGGCATTCGGGGGTGGAGGGCCCGGCGGTGGCTGGTAGGCCCGCTCGGCGCCGTTGTGATACGCATTCGGCGGTGACTGCAACTCGATGCCCGTTTGCTGTCCTCCAAAATAGCCGTAGGCTTGCGGTTGGGGTGTGTACTGAGGCGGTGGCTGTTGCTGATAATGAGGGTCTGCATAGTAAGGATGTTGATGTTGTCCGTAGGGAGGCGGGCCAGCAAGCCATGCCGTACCCGGATGAGGTTGAAGGCCGCGAGTGCGACGGCGGCGAGCGTTATAGCATCTAGCAGCACGTTAGTTTCATGCAACTGGCTCAGATTAAGGTCCTCCGCCAAGGACGGGAGGGAGGAACATACGCAAAAAGAAAGAATATGATGAAAGCACAACCAACAATGACGGCAAACGCTACCCAACGACCCCAGTCATACCAACTACTTGGCCTGCAGACCCAATCGCCCCAGCTATTATATCCACTACAAAGACACTGTTAGCTTCGTTTCATTCCATTGACTCCGATTACCCTTATGGATATTGGGCTATGGAACTCACCACTCTCGGCGGGCGTGGATGACACCCATCGTGGCTGAAAGGCCTCTTTATCCGAGGCCGACTGTAGGGCGGAGAATGACGTCGATCACAGAGACGAGAGCTCCTGGTGGTGAGGAATCAGCGGAGGTAAAAGGGTAGTAACGAGCTCAGCTATCTTGCAGGAGCGTGAATACAAAATTCGAAGGAGGTTTTTCGATCCGTACGAAAGAATTAAACCAGGACCAATGTAAGGGGAGGAAAGAAAGTGAAGTTCTTGTACGTCTGAAGGCAGCAACGAAACCGCAGCGGGAATGGCGCGGGTAAATTATGGAGACAATGAATGGACTTGGACCTTACTCGGAGTGTGGCTGGTGCTTGGCGGCCTTACGCCGACCGGTCTGTTTATTTTCTTGGGTTACTTTTCGGTGGGTAACCGTAGGATTTGGCAAGGATGCGCAATAGGGCTGGGAACAGGGGGGCAAATTAGATAATAATAATAATAGTGCCTATACGAAGAAAGGGGAGTCTTCAACACCTGGTGGAACAATGTTAAAAATTCCTCGTAAATAGGGCATTTGATCTTGAACGCATTCGATATATCCCCTCACGAAATGCACTCACCGCATCACTCGGGGTTATTTCGAGTGGCAAGCGAAGAGGGCCGATATTCTAGTTCGCCTCGGTACGGCATATATAATCACTGTCTAAGCCACCAAGCACCTGACTTGATGGTTTCCTCCCGCGTGAAACTTACCAAGTTCTATAGTTTATGATTTGCTGTCTGGCTTTGCCCCGGTTACTCGGATGAGTTGTTTGTGGTTTCAGTTTCCGTTCCTTCATAACTTTCAGCATACTCGAGTCTCGTGATCAAATGTGCACAGCCTTGGATACTCGTCGTCCACTCCAGGGATTTCTCGAATTTTTGAATGCATGGTGAGCATGACATAGCTTACTTATTGGTCAATATCGCGCAGGTTTGACATCGGTGTGGTCCCAGTGAAAGGTGCAATGGCTTTGTCATTTATCCGTAAGACTGTCAGATATCAAAAGCGAAAATACCTGTGATCCACTGAGTTGCTGGCGGCCTACCTACTAACTCGAGAAGAAGACCGATAATCCCAGTGAAGGACTTTCTAATTGTCGGCAACACCTGGTTATGTCTTATGATTTTCGACAACTCATAGCGTCACACCGGTATATGTAGGCATCCAATACTCCTGGTGCAAACATGTGACATGTATATCAATCAAGTAATTAGACATTATCGGAAGGATAGAAAGTGGACTGAAAACCAGGGCCGATTTTATATTCTAGTCTCTGTAGGATTGCAACATGGTGGTGATTTGCTGCAGGATCAAGAGCGCCCGCCAAGATATATTAAGAGACAATTCGCAGCTCAAGCATTTCTGTGTACCACTAGACCCAACTCAAGTTCTTGCTCATTCTTGGTAATAAGAGTACTATGTGATAAAAAAAAATCATTGCTTGTCCCAACCCATTTAAAATCTCCATGGATTGATCGCAAGTTGCTGCAGATGATGATAGAAAAGTATGTGCAGTACAAAATAAGGTAGAAGAGAAAAGGTGGAATGGACATGCAACCTGTACTTGGTCTAAATCACTTCATCGTAGGAAATGACTAACCCGATCACCAGGCCACCAAAGCAACCTTAGCCGATCGGCAGGGATATGAAGCAGACCATGATTTGCTCACGACTGGGTAATCTATGAATAGGATCCCAGAAGCCTTTGAACTTTGGCAGGTGTTGTTGGCGGGGTTGGATTTGCTGGTTCGCATGAGGGCTTGATTAGTTCCCGTCTTCGCATCTGCAATGCCAACGCATCAGTTGGTCTGTGTGCTCTGCTCCAACACGATCCTCATAAATAAGACAGGCGCCAGTGTCTCTATGGCCCCCCTCGCTCCCTCTTTTCAAAGCTACTTGGCCCTGTCCTTTGGCTTTGTAATTCAACTTGAAATGTGGATTTGCCTGAGGGTTTACAACGTTATATATCTCGGAATAGCCCCAGACCAATGCTCATAGTGGCTCTCCTCTCCAGCTCACGTGTCTTCCATCTCGGACGTCATATAATTCAAAAGCCAATCACTATGAGATCGGGCACCAATGCCGCCATAATACAAGCCCACTAAAAATTACATAGAAACGTGGGTCATCATGCAACGAATGAAATTAACAAACAGTGAAAGGGAAGCTGAGTGAGCGCACGTGCTGAAGCCAAAAGGCAACAAAAAGCAAACAAGACAAAGAAAGAAAGAAATCAACATCAATGACGCTAAAGTTTAATGTGCCTGGTTCACATCGTCAACATCATTACATCGGAGGCTGCAATCCAAGAAGCTGAAAGAGTCTACAAAAGTTTAGGCCTGCGGCCGGGAAAAGAAGGATGAAGCAGGTGCTGTTTCCCACGATCTTCATCGACTGGCTTTGGCGATCAACCAGTGCAAAACAGCATCAAGGTTAGTCTCTTCTTTGGCACTAATTCCATAGCAGCTCACTTCGCGATGGGTAATGGATTTCAGATCCATCGCATCAATCAGTTCGTCGACGGACAGCTTATTCGGAAGGTCGGACTTGTTCCCAAGGACTAACAGCGGAATACCTTCAAGAGAGGGCTTGTTCATCAACTCGTGCAGCTCATCTGTGGCGATTGGAAGTGCAGGGCGGTCTGCTGCATCAACGATGTACCTGGTCCGAATGTCAGAAGAATGACCACATCAGTGAGTCCTATTCCAGAGAGGACAAAGGGGTGGACATACACTATCGCATTTACACCGCGGCAATATCGCTCCCACATTGGTCGGAACCGCGGTTGGCCTCCCAGATCCCAGCTATATGAACGTTAGCACCGCGATGCGGGGACCATAGCGGACAGGCGTTGGGACACTGACCATTTCAAGGTCACATGGCCTTTCTGAACCCGTTTTGTGTTGAAGCCAATGGTGGGGATGGAACTGTGGGGAGGTTTAGCAAGAGAAATGACAACCCTTACGGCTAGGCTAAGCCTACGCTCTTGACTTACTCTACAGTAAACTCGCCTCCCTACAGGGTTCGTTAGGTCACGTTAGCGATGGTGGTCGAAATACTAGATCGGTCGGTCCAGATGAATGGAGGCATACCGCAAGCACACGCAACAGCGACGATTTCCCTGCGTTTTGAAGCCCGATCATGGTGACATCCATCTCCGTCGCCCTGCCATTTCGAAATACAAAGTACCGCTCTTAGCAAGCCGAACCTTTTTTGTTTTTGCGGGGACGGGCCGGGGAACTATTTCCGGGAGAACCGCAAAAAGCGATGATTTATTGGAACAGCGGCCCACTTACCAAAACATCCTCAGGAGCCAGTCATAAATCGTCCGAAAGATACCCGCCATCTTTGCGATTAAGAAAAAGAAAAAAAGCAGAGAGACACTGTTCGTACAACGGAAATCAACCAGAGAAGAATGAAGGGAAAAGAAGGGACAGGATGGCCAAGAACGGTCGAGAGAAAGAGAAAACCAACAGAATGGTCGATTGTTCTGGCGCGAAGTGGCGATGGTGGGTGAAGATATTGAGACCTAGGATAAGAGTTTTGTAGGATTAAGAGTGGGGATGGTGGGTTTGCTGAAAGGACTCGAATCCCGCGACACCAGCGGACCACGGGACAATGAATGTAATCAAATAAGACGTGAGGAAGATAAGTAAGCCTAGTGGTAGTGAGAATGGGAATTTGAGGGAAGCAGGGAACAAGACGGCGGAAAAGCGACGTGAGGTCTGGAAGAGGAACGACACCGAATCAAGTTGAGCTGAACTTGATTGAAGGGGGCGGCGGCAGAGAGACTCCCCAGACCAAAAGCGTTGCGGAGAGAGCGGCTATCGTTTTCAGTTTCAGGCGCGCTTCCTTCTGATGAAGGGAATAGGGAATGATTTCTGCTTTTCGCTCACTGCTTTGCGGTGAAACTGAAGTGCTCCGATCTATGTGCACGCATGACCGCTCGTTCTGCGCCGCTTTGGAGGGGAGCGCTTAGTGGCCCCTGTCACTCATGTCCGTCAGTCTGGACGAGGTCAAAGTCCCTACAGGAGTTAGTTCGAAAGCCAGTGGTTCTGTCGCACGGAGAGTGATCTTGAAATTGCTCTGGAAAAAAAAATAGTAATAGTGACCCAATCGGTGAAGACAAAACCTGTTTCAATTTGTAATTCCTGTTCGAAAAGTAAATGCACTGTCTTATCTGGAGCCCGAAAGGGGAGCAAGAAAGCAATGAACTACTTCACCAAAACGTTCAACGTATCTATCAGCTTTGTTTGCCTTGTTGCCTAAGGCGGCGTCCCGTCCCGCACATGGGTCCCGTGATGCAAGCCTTGCATAACGTGCTACGACTTGCGGCCTCAGGCAGAAGAGCCACCGCTCATCATCATCACGATCTATCAACACGTGATGATATCTGTCCGCCGGTTCCACCTCGAAAAATTTCCCCGTCGCAGCGACAAGAAAGGCTTCATTCAGACCAGCGCTCGTACTCCAATTGCGAGTCTCATTCCCTCTTGGTCACTCTTCTTCCCTCGCCTTTGATATCTGCGGCAGGAGGGGGTGAGCTCTTGAGGCAAACCAGTCACACCGAATCACATCGACTGGAGCCTCGGCTTGTATAGACTGAAGTGTACAGTGGAAACTTTTTTTCACCTCCGAACCTCCGGGAAGAAAAACGTTTTCCTCGATCAAAGTCATTCCAACTTCACCATGGCTCCTGCTAAGACAGACACCAATTGGTCTGTCAATTACGATGTACTCAGACGGGAGCAGCTATTCAAGAACCCTCCCAAGGATCGTACAGCTTATCCTGCACTAGCAGCCTCTATCAAGCCGCACGTTGATTCCTTCAATGCGCTTTTCGAGGACAGCAAAGTTTTGGAGGCGGGATTGAAAGATATTGGCACCAAGACATTCATCGACGGCGAAGCAGAAACTCCTGAGCAGAAGAAGGCTAGACAGGCAGAGGGCCGAAAGGCACCGAAGCGGAACAAGCTCCATGTTCGCGTCAAAGAAGTCTTCCTCGAGAAGCCTGCCATTCCCCCGACGAACAAGTTCACCACTCGTAACCGCAATATCTACCCATCCGAATGTAGAGAGAGACATGCGACGTACCGTGGCAAGCTGCGCGCAAGGATTGAATACCGGGTGAACAATGGGGATTGGATGGAGGCTGTCAGAGAATTGGGTCAGGTTCCTATCATGTTGAGGGTGAGTGACTATAGTGGATTTATATGGGAGGTTCTACTGTTCCTGGTCTGGCTAACGTGAGTGTGGCATAGACCAATCGATGCCATCTGGAGAAGGCAACCCCCGCGGAACTTGTTGAGCACAAGGAAGAGTCTGAGGAGCTGGGCGGCTATTTCATCGTAAATGGAAACGAGAAGTTGATCCGAATGTTGATTGTCGGAAAGAGGAATTTCCCCATGGCCATTATTCGTGGCTCCTTCGTTAAGCGTGGCCACACATATACCAAATATGGTGTTCAGATCCGATCCGTCCGTCCTGATCAGACGTCCCAGACCAATGTCCTACATTACCTGAGTGACGGTAATGTTACTTTCCGTTTTTCATGGCGCAAGAATGAGTATCTCGTCCCGGTGATGATGATTCTTAAGGCGCTTGTGGAGACGAATGATCGCGAAATCTTCGAAGGACTGGTTGGCAGTGCCTCTTCTGAGGGAATCAACAATACATTCGTCACGGATCGTGTGGAACTTTTGCTGCGGACATACAAAGGATACAACCTGCATAGTCGCTCAGCCTGCCGGGCTTACCTGGGAGAGAAGTTCAAGCCCGTCCTCGGTGTTCCAACGGACATGTCAAATGAGGAAGCTGGCACTGAGTTCCTTCGTAAGGTTGTATTGCCCCATCTTGGTAACCAGAACGTTAGCGAAACTCAGGACTACGACAAGTTCAAGCTAATCATGTTCATGATCCGGAAACTTTACGCTCTCGTCGCTGGCGACTGTGCCCCTGACAACCCTGATGCCGTCTCTAACCAAGAAATCCTGCTTGGTGGTTTTCTCTACGGTATGATCCTAAAGGAGAGACTGGAGGAGTGGGTCAGATCTTTTGGCCCTATCCTGAGAGACTGGAGCATGCGCAACCATGGCGCGAAGTTCACTGATCCTTCATTCGAGAGGGACTTCTTGAGCAAGGTCGTGAAACGGTCAAATGAGAACATCGGTGGTGCGCTGGAGTACTTCCTATCGACTGGTAACCTCGTCAGTCCTACGGGTCTCGATTTGCAGCAGACATCCGGCTATACTGTCATGGCTGAGAAAATTAACTTCTACCGTTTCATCAGTCATTTCCGAATGATTCACAGAGGTAGTTTCTTCGCACAATTGAAAACTACCACTGTTCGTAAGCTGCTTCCTGAAAGTTGGGGCTTCCTGTGCCCTGTTCACACACCTGATGGATCTCCTTGTGGTCTCCTTAACCATCTTGCACACAAGTGCTTGATTTCCACCAGTGATATCGATGTTTCTCATCTCCCAAGACTCTTGGTCCAGCTCGGTGTGCGCTCGGAGTCTTCTGTCTCATTGGAGGAGAGCGTAACGGTTCAGTTGGATGGTAGAATTGTCGGTTTCTGCTCACCGAAGCAGGCTCGCATGGTCGCTGATACCCTGAGACACTGGAAGGTTGAGGGCAGCCACAATGTTCCTCGAGAGCTGGAGATCGGATACGTCCCTAACTCTAACGGCGGTCAATATCCCGGTATCTACATGTTCTCGCAAGCAGCTAGGATGTACAGAGAGGTTAAGTACTTGCCTCTCGACAAGCTTGACTACGTGGGACCATTCGAGCAGCCCTTCATGGAAATCGCCTGTTTACCATCGGACCTTGTCGCGGGTGTTTCGACGCACATCGAGTTTACACCGACAAACATCCTCTCTATTGTGGCTAACATGACTCCTTTCTCCGATTACAACCAGTCGCCTCGTAACATGTATCAGTGTCAGATGAGCAAGCAGACAATGGGAACGCCCGGAACAGCCATCGATTATCGTACAGACAACAAGCTTTACCGACTGCAAACTGGACAGACACCAATTGTGCGTCCCCCTCTTTATAATGCTTATGGTTTGGATAACTTCCCGAACGGCACGAACGCGGTTGTTGCTATTATCTCGTATACGGGTTATGACATGGACGACGCTATGATTATCAACAAATCTTCACACGAACGTGGATTCGGTCATGGTACAATCTACAAGACAAAGGTCCACGCCCTCGATGAAAAGGAGTCGCGAAGGAACAAATCCAGACGTGAAATTACTAAGCTGTTTGGCTTTGCTCCAGGGGGTGAAATTAGGGCCGAGTGGCGTAACACCATCGACGAGGATGGTCTTCCTCACATTGGCGCTAGGGTTAAAGAGGGCAGTCTCGTCGCTGCATACCACAACGTACGTTATGATGCAGCATCGGACTCCTATGTGAATGTCGATGGCATCACCCACTTCGTCAAGTACAAGGACGCCGAAGAAGGATACATCGACAGCATCCGTATCATGGGTGCCGAGACCGGTATCGAACCGTGCCAATCCCTCAGCGTCAAGTACCGTATCCCAAGAAAGCCTGTTATTGGTGACAAGTTCTCCTCTCGTCACGGACAGAAAGGTGTCTGCTCCCAACTCTGGCCGGCAGTCGACATGCCCTTCTCCGAAAGTGGCATCCAGCCTGACCTTATTATCAACCCTCACGCTTTCCCATCTCGTAAGTCTCCAATATTTTTTTTGGACTATATGACAATAATATTCCTTGACTGACCGATGGACAAAAGGTATGACAATCGCCCAGATGATCGAATCCATGGCGGGCAAGGCTGGTGCTCTTCACGGCCACCCCCAGGACTCGACGCCCTTCCAGTTCTCCGAGGAGAACACCGCCGCCGATTACTTCGGCCACCAACTCCGCAAGGCAGGCTACAACTACTACGGCAACGAACCACTCTACAGTGGTATCACCGGCAAAGAGTTCGCCGCCGATATCTTCATCGGTGTCGTCCACTACCAGCGTCTCCGTCACATGGTTAACGACAAATTCCAAGTCCGTACCACCGGTCCTGTGAACTCCCTGACCGGCCAACCCGTCAAGGGTCGTGCCAAGGGAGGTGGTATCCGTGTCGGTGAGATGGAACGTGACTCCCTCATTGCCCACGGTGCCGCCTTCATCCTCCAAGACCGTCTCATGAACTGCTCTGATACCCAGCGTGCCTGGCTCTGCCGCGACTGCGGCTCCTTCCTCTCGACACAGGTCGCCCTCGCCGGTGGCTCCGGAAAGGCCCGCAACCAGGGCGCCGCCGCCGCCGCCGCAAAGGCTGCATCTAGCCAGCTTACCCAGGCCAGCGGCTCCTCCGGCATCGTGCGCTGCAGACGCTGCGCTCGCGAAGCTATCTTCGATGACTCCCGCGCGATCACCTGGGAAGACGGCGATGGCCGTCGTTTCGTCGGCGGTGACAATGTTACTGTCGTTGCTGTTCCGGGTGTGCTTCGGTACCTGGATGTTGAGCTTGCTGCCATGGGTATCAGGATGAAGTTCAAGGTGGACAACTAATCGCCCTGCTCAATGCATACTATATCTTGCATCTCAAGAGCAAAGTAAGAAAGCAAAAAACGATATGAAAGAACCTGACAAGATTTTACGTTGGCTCGGGAATAAAAGCTTGTATAGATGGGGGAGTATTTAGCAATATTTTGGTTCTTGGATGTGTACTTATCTATCTGGGATGAGAGTTTTGTTTAGTATATCATAGCATTATAGTATAGTTTTCTTTTCAACTTCATACTGATCTCTCTTTTTAAGTAGGGTGTACCAGGAACTGCAACTGATTCTAATGAGACGTGGATCCCCATTACTGCTCGCCAAACAGGCAGACTCATAAAAGGAAGTTTCTTGTATGCCTAAGAAAAGAAAATTGATATATCATGTCTACCATGAGAAACCATCCAAGACACTACACATTACAACTCCGACGTGACATTCGAGAATTCGCCCTTCTCCAACTTCGTCTTCCAGAAGATCGGGTTCATGTCGTCAAAGCCGTGGTGCACCCATCCTTCTTCCTTGACGTGGTACAGGTTGATGAAACCACCAGAGTAGGCGTCACGGTGCATAGCGGCCAGGATACTTCTCCGGCCGAGCTCAAGGGCCTCCTCTTCAGTCAAGTCGTAGCGGTAATTGGCATCCAACACACCGTAGGCGAACGTCTGACCGGATCCAACACAGAACAGGTTGCCCGGGAGTCGGGTGCCGTCTGAGTCGATGTAATAGAGAGCTGGACCTTCTTGAGGGGTCATCTAATCACAGTGGAAATGCATTAGCTTCAAACGTTCTTGGGGTTATAATGTGACGGAACGGGCCACATACTCCTGCTAACATTGTTCCCATGCTCAGACCGTATCCCTTGTAGGCGTATGTCAGGTTGGCGAGAATCTTGGAAGCGGCAGCAACGGTGATACGGCGCTTGTGGCGGATTTCTACCAATGATTAGCATCACACATTCCAACAATATGGGGTACAAGATGAACCAGAACATACCATGAAGTGTGCATTGCTGACTCAAATATCTCAACCAGTATTGGCAATCCTACACCCAGTCATTAGCGTAATGTCCTAGAGTGCATCAAGAATATCCACAGAGCGCTATGTTGACTCCCAGATAGAACAGGGTACATACCGCAGCACCACCCGCCATAGTACCTAGAAGACCGGGAGTCGGGGCATTGTTCGCCTTGTCCTCACCACGACTCAACCGCGAGACGGGAATAACCTTCTTCACTGTCTGACTGGCAATCCAATTTCCAGCGGTGGCTCGAGAGTCTGTCGCAACAATCTATGTACCGTTTGTCAGCGGAGAACGAGGGACCAGTTAATCGGACGGCGTACAATTCCGCCCTGGAATCGGAAGGCCAGTGTTGTCGTTCCGTGGGCAAGTTTGATGGGGCAGCTTGGGTTCGAGTGATCATCAGTCATAGCACGGAGCCAAGATCTTGACTAGACGAAGGAGTTGGGTTAGCTAGGGTCTCCGCTTATTCGGCATATTATATGATCTGTTTGGTCTTCCGGCGTTGGGTAGGCAAGCGGTAGCATCGCTATCACGCTCCTCCGCGCGCCGGCACCACACAACAGATTCATTGGGCGGTGCTTACGTTGTCAACTGGAGGAAGGTTGAATTTCAGAGAGAGGGGAGGAAGGCTCTCTGTGAGGTCATGTTGTTCTTGTTCGGAGTAGAACTCATTCTGATGGGCCGGGCGGCTATATTGGGCGACCAACTTGTCCATGATGGGCGGCGATCTGAATCGGTATCCGAGGGAAGGAGGAAAACAAGTTGTAGTTGATATACAAGCGCAGATGGCGAGGAGGTGGGATGGAGGAGGTCGAGCTTCTGGGCGGGAAGAGAGCTTCCCAGATGATGCTGTAGCTCCGTCCGCGTCACGCCTGCCGCCTGGGTCACGTGGCCATATCGCTTACTCGGCCTTATCGCCGTATCAGTTCCTTTCATCACCTTACTCTGTATAGAGTACTCCTACATTTATCTCTACTAATCTCCCGACTCAGTCGAATTAAAGAGATGGCTCTTCTATAGGGATTTCTCTCTTGGGGAATCTGCAATCAATGTTCATACTCACATACTAATATACATAATAATACTCCAGAATTAACGCAGGGAAGAAACCAAGGTAAAACACGATGATTGACCAGCTTAATACGGGACAGCGACGGTTTGAGGAATGTCCCAAGCTGCCTTGGGCTGCTCCTGGAGTTTTTCCCGAATAGACTTAGCATCATCCGTGGTCTCTGTCACCTTATTTGCCTCCGTTCCTTCCGTCAGCTCGGTGGAGGGCTGGTCAAAGTGCTGAGTCGAATCTGTGACGGACTCTTCGATACTTCTACTGCTCGCAGCAATTTCATTGATCTCCTCGGGCTCATCTGTGACAGAATCGTCCCAGCTTCTAGCTTCGCTGACGGACCCAACGTGCTCCTTTGTTCCTGGAATAGTGTCGTGAGCTCCAGGTGTGTATCCAGTAACAACGGGAGTGGCTCCATATATGCCCCTAGCTCCCTGCGTACTGGACTCTCCGTAACCCTCGGCTCCAGTGGCGGTATCAACACGCTGCTTAGTTCCTGGGATGTAAGTGATCGTATTACTTGGCCGACGATACGTATCCCTAGTTGGCTCAACAGGCGCTGCAACAGGTGCTGTTACAGGCTGTTGGGACTCCTGGGCTTCGATTGCGGGCGTAACATCCTCTTGAGTCCCAGACCCATACTCATGGACATATTCATTGGTGCCCTGAGCCTCGGGAATGCCTTGAGTCTCCGGAATACCTTGAGTCTCGGGAATATATTCCTCAGCGTAACGAACATCTGAAGCCGAGCCATTAATATCCCTAGTCGAAGCCATCTCACGGCCGTCTACTTCAGACGAGCCGACGGTGAGTGCTTGACTATCCCGAGCCGCACGAGCTGCGGGGGCTGGAAGGAGAGTGCTATCATGCAAGTGTCCAGCTGAGGTCGGGATAGGTACGGTAGTACTCTCCCAGGCGCGGAGACCTCTCTCGGCGTCTTGAATGAGCTGACTTGCCTCGTCACCACGATCATAGTCTTTCCGAGGCTCCCCTGGGACAACAGGCGAGTCATCGAGGATACCCAGCAGCCGGCGGGCATGACGGGCGAGCAAAATCTGCTTCTCACCTCTCTCAATGACAGCCGCCAAGTGGATATCGAAAGCCTCCTTGAGTTTTGCCCTAGTCTATGGAAAAATTAGCACTGCCAATTATTAAGGTAGCTAGAGTTGACACGAACCATGTTGGTCAACTGAGCCTCGGCGACCAGGCTCTGCGCTTCCGCTCTCACAAGCTCCTGTTCCAGAGTCTCCAACCGGATGCTCTCCGGGTCCTTAATCTTCAGTTTCGCGATATCGTCCTGGATCTTGGCTCGATGATTCCGTGTCGGTTGAATCGAGTTCTCTGTTTCGCGAATGTGCTTGAGAACCGTCCGATACTCTTCCAAGTAAGATGCGAAAATCTCCTCTTGATCGCCCATTTCGGCGAGCAGCACACCCAGTTTATCAGTGATGTCTGACACAGCTTCGTCCTCTGTGGCCTCCCCCCAGTCGGAGAGCTCTTTCGCGGTGGACACACGCTCACGACCGGCCTTCTCATAAGCACTGATAGCCGCATTCTCATTTTTGATCAGGCGGTTCATCCTCTTGCTCAGTTCGGGCTGCTGCGTACCGCGCAGCGTCGCGAAACTGAAACGGCTCCGCGAAGGAACCGAATTCCTCCTGCGGACCGACAGGTTTCGATTCCTAGGTCATATTAGCCCAGCATCTAAGCTCTGCCATTGACCCTCGTACATGATTGAGATGAAACCAAACAAGTCACAAAGTAATTGACACTAAGTCGCGACAACTTTTTCAGAGGTGGCAAAATGGGATTGTCGAGCTACTGATAGAATATCCTAATAGAGAAGTGCGCCTTCCTCGCAGGTCCGACAATACAGCTTAATAAATGGTATACACGAACGGTCGCAGGTTAGGACAATACTAAACTAGATAATAATGTTCGAAAGTACGCAATGTTCTAAAGGACATGTACAATTACTTTATGATCGCATCGACCGTGCGAACCGTACTGACGTCATGCGGGAGAAGCGGAAGTTTTGAAGTCATATTGTCCAAATGCAGACAAATCAATGCGCAGTTACCATGGATAGCAGGCCTCTTTGTCCGGCCGGGGGGCGAGTTTCGCCTGAGCTTATCTGATCCATGTTGGTTCGGGATGAGATCATGGAGCAGTCTAGCCACGGATACACTATGCACTTCAGGATATCGTCTTGGCTTGGTATCTAATCAATCAACAGAAAAGAAAACCTGGCAAATGAAACAAGAATAATTAGGAAATGAAGAAGAATACCAATCAAGAACACTTTAGCCAAACAATCCAAACCCGAACAAAACCCTAACTCCCAACTCCCAAGCTCCCATGAAGATGTCTTCAGTAATTCTACACCCGAATATACTCTACATCCTCGGTCCACATAGGCCTCCTCCTCTCCCTTTCCCTCATCCGCCTCCCCTCAGGCTCAATATATTCCACACACCTCCGCTCAGGCAAGAAATCCCGACTCCCAAGCCACCATCCCTTCCATCTTGATATCGGAAGCGATTCCTCCACTGTCCGGATTCTCCGTCTCGATACCGTCGTATATGACGACCGCGGGGACTCACAGTGATGCGAGTGCGGATGGGCATGTCGGGGTGGGCAGACGCTCGTTGAGTCATGGCTGTCAGTGCTGCTGGAGCTGGAGCTGGAGCTGGAGCTACTGCTGCTGTGTCTGCGCCGACGACGGTGGGAGGACGGGATCGAGACGCGCATAGGTGGGTTTCTGAATTCGACGACTCGGATACAGGGGCCTTTACCTTCGTCGACTTCGAGGAAGCACATCTTCTTCGGCCCTGGGATGGTAGGGGTTTGGGTTGGAGTGGTGTATGGTTGTTAAAGTACAGAGAAGAGAGTGGGTGTATATTCGTGTATACTTCTGGCGTGTATCTTTGTATATTATCGGTGTTCGTTTGGAGATATCTCAATTTCTATCTCTCTTTGGTATTCCTATATTCTGACGGGAGACACCGAACCTGGGTATGTATAGCCGAAACAAGCTTCCAGAGAGAGATATACTAGTAAACTAAGCTACCCGGGGATTAATGTATTATAAATGTTCTCTAAATACTAGGAAGTGAGTAACAATATTCCCAGGTCAGGTCATCTACTCTGAGTCCAGCCTGACAGTGGGAATCACTTGATCCGGGTCCGTCATGTGGGTGACCGTATCCGATGACATCCTCATCTAGCACCCTATGTATGTTCAACGCAGAGATGTCTACAGAATGCGACGGGATAAATGCTGATGAGTAGTTATTGAAATTATGAGGGTCGCTTTGGCGTGTGACTCTTGGAGCCTGTGGATGCTTTTGTTGTGGGTTCTGTGCTATATATATACAAACTGCGGATGACTATATATGGGTGGTAGGCTATGCGATGTCCTTCCACGTTCGTCTTGTCTAAGTTATTATATTCCTTGTCTGTATGTATGCGGTAGAATTTACTTAAAGGGTTCTTGGTGTTCCTTGATTGGTATATCTGTAGTTGTTAAATTTGTGTATAGATATGTCTATCACTTGTTCGCTTATAAGTAAATACATACAAAAGCTCCCAACTGATTCTACTCTAGAAGTCTGAAGAGAAACTTCTCATGTCGATCACAAAAGTCTCAAACCCCAGCGAGGATATATTAGATTATGAAATTTCAAAAAGTATTAACAACTCCGACCATATTCTCAACCAAACTTCGAGAAATATCCCATCACATTCGTCCGCTAAGGACGAGTACTCGCCATATCCAACGACTACATGAGCCACAACAACAAGAACTACTCAAGATAATGCATACTGCAGGTCAAATACAAACTTGCCCAAGCTAAACATCTCACTATATCACTCTGTATAACCTCCTATATGTACTGAATACACAGTGGGGGGAGATCGTTAATTATTAGACCGGTTGCTACTGATAATGCTCCAAACACGAGTCGACATATCTGGGATAGATAGGTGCTGTTTCCGTCTGTATCGTAACCCTAACCACTAGCCAATATACCTTATAGTTCGTCTTCCAACTTGATTTCTTCGGCTATGTACCATGACCTGTCAAATCAACCTGCCTCCAAACCATACAAGACTAGACTAAACTGGACTGAGTACTATAGATTCCGGAAGTATGCCATTGACCAGGTATACCTGCATAATCATTATCACAGATCGGACACTGACATAAAGTCTAGCCCAAGAGCCAAGCCATCTACAGTGTTGCCTAGAGTCCCTCCTCCCCCAAACTGCCGAGCTCCAACACCGAAGGTCTCCCAGAACCAGCTCCCTAAACCCAAGAATCCCCGGTGTGAATGCACAGCCGCAGGGGGCGTTGCACGAAAGCGTAAGCCAGGTGCAGTTGTGGATCGACAGGTAAAAGCATGTAGGGGGCTTCTCAGGGATGTGGTTCAACCGTTCAGGACGGAATCCGAGGGTTTGCCGGGCCCCACAAAGTAAGCAACTTGCATTAGCGTCCCGCTGAACACTGTTTAATCTAAGCTTAATACTTATCTCCTTCGGAGTATATGCTATCCAACAGACTATTTTCGTCATGAACCTTGGCCGGTTGAGGTGTTTATTACCAATCGGCTCTCTTGGCGTGATGACAACATCTTGTTGAAGAGTATTGGCAACGCGCGGCCTCGCTGTGGTATCCTGAGACATACTGTCTGGTGATATCAACTGCTGTTTGAGGTGATGGCGTGCAGAGTCTTGGTCGTGGATATAAGATCGGCGAATGTCATCTCAGACAGAAGCCATTCATCTGTATACTTCAATAGTTACAACTACCTCAGTGTGCAGATATCACTAGCAACATCAGCATCAGCATCATGAAGGGAAGCAGCCTCGCCGCTCTTGGTCTGACGACGATGCTTAATACCATGTCAGCCATGGCCCAGAACCTGTCCTACGGAGCCGACAACTTCTACCGCAGCGACAGCGTCACGGTCCAGCCGATCACCTTCGAGAACCAGTACCGGATGACCATCGCGGGCAACCTCTTCACGCGCAACAACTTCACGCACAACAACAACAACATCACCGCACCGGCCATCGTGGTCGGCCACCCGATGGGCGCCGTGAAGGAGCAGAGCGCGAACCTGTACGCGACGAAGCTGGCCGAGCAGGGCTTCGTGACCGTCTCGCTAGACCTGTCGTTCTGGGGCGGCAGCTCGGGCGAGCCACGCAACGCAGTGTCGCCGGATCTCTACGCGGAGGCGTTCAGCGCAGCGGTCGACTATCTGGGCACGCAGGAGTTCGTCGACCGCGAGCGTATCGGCGCGCTCGGTATCTGCGGCAGCGGCGGGTTCGTGATCAGCGCGGCGAAGATCGACCCGCGCATCCGGGCCATCGCGACGTCGAGCATGTACGACATGGGCGCCGCCAACCGCAACGGGCTGCAGAGGTCGCAGAGCGTCGAGCAGCGCAAGGAGATCATCGCCGGGGCGGCGCAGCAGCGCTGGACCGAGATCGACGGCGGCGACGTCCAGTACACCAGTGGCACGCCAAGTGAGCTCACGCCAGATACACCTGCTGTCGGACGCGAGTTCTACGACTTCTATCGCACCCTGCGTGGCGAGTTCACGCCCAACGGCTCGTCGCCGAACCTCACGACCCACCCCACGCTCTCCAGTAACGTCAAGTTCATGAACTTTTACCCGTTCAACGATATCGACACCATCTCGCCGCGTCCGCTGCTCTTCATCTCGGGCGACCAGGCCCACTCGCGCGAGTTCAGCGAGGACGCTTATGCGCGTGCGGCCGAGCCGAAGGAGCTGTTCTGGGTGCCTAGAGCCGGCCATGTCGACCTCTACGATCGTGTCGATCTCATCCCCTTTGGCAAGCTCACGCGGTTCTTTCAGACGAATCTCAGCAGAAAGGGAGCCAGGGCGGTTCGTGTCTGATATGATACTCTAATATAGAGTTGGTGGTGTTAACCGGGCTGGTTAGATTAGAGTCATGTGCTCTGTTCGTTGATATTCGATTAGTTCAGCTTACGACTAAACTGATCTATGTACTAGAATTTCATAGATACAAAGCTATATGATCGTGTGATTGGTTCCTCCTGGTAGATTCCCTATACTAAGTTGACTACTCCATTCCTCTAATAGCTGGACACCATAAGATAACTCCTTTAGCACGCGGCTGTAGGGCACCGTCGCACCGTCAAACCCAAACCAAATCCCCAGCTGGGCCCAGCCGAGTCGGCCTTCCGTAGAACAGAAATGTTTGGTAGTGAGACCAACCTAATGCTTGTCTCGCAAGCGAACTAGCTGAAGCGCCGACTCATCTATGGCTCCTGCTCGTGCTGTCTCTAGCCCGTGTGCCAGCCTCCTTTCAGTCGCCATACTGGACATTGTGTTTTGCCGTGTCGAACATCGCCGGACGCATTTCTGCAGTGTATTATGCCAGGATCCGCTAGGGTCAAACTTCAGTGGTAAGTATATGCTAAGGCATTAGTGTAGGCAAACGCAATGGGTGAAGGTCCTAGTCGTGTCTGCAGATCAAGGCTTGGTATCGTGAAATTCAATAGTCGTCATGATCCTATCGTCTATTATACAGTACAGTATATCCTGCCGAACGCCGACCCATGTAGAGTATGTAAATTACACAGTAGAAAAGAAGAGCAAGTCAAGAAGAAAAAAAAGGTTCATCCCTCTGGACCGGCGTCGGCATCTGCCATCTCCGTATCCTGGGGTTCTTGGGTATCTCCGGTATGCTGCTGCTCGTGTCCTCCTTCTGCTCCATCCTGCGTTATCCCGTTTGGCAGAATCCCATTTGGTTCGGTTCCGTTTGGCTCAGTTGTATTTGACTCGGCTCCATTTGGCTCAGCCCCGTTGATCGCTGGGGGAGATTCTTTCGCGTCGGTGTTCATTTCGTCGTCGTCGTCTTCGTCGACCTCCTCGTACACCCGTATCGTCTGGTCGATTCCACAGCTCACCATTAACCGCTTGTCGCCCAGCGTGCAAGTGTCAACGCCCAGTACCACTCCTGTATGCCCTTCGATCCGCTGCAAGGTCTTCTTGCTCACTACGTCCCAGCATAGAACAGCGCCGTCTTCGCTCCCGCTGACAGCGAACGCATGGGGCGGTGCGCCACGCACTCCGTATGTGCCGAACCCGCCCGCCAGACTGTATTTCCGGTTGACGTGTCCCTGGTAGGTCTTGATACAGCGTCCTTCCACGTAGTTCCACAGCCGTACGCAGTCGTCCAGCGACCAGGCCAGGACAAACTTGCCATTGGGGGAGAATTTGACCGACGTGACCGGTGGGTTGTCCTCGTGGACCAGCGTGCGCAGACACTGGCCCGTTGCCGTGTCCCAGATTCGAATCAGCCCGTCGGTCGCGCAGGATGCGATAAGGGTGCCGTCCCAGACGACGTCGATCCCGCCGACGGGGTCGGAATGCGCGGGGAGGGAACGCATCACCGTCGCGGAGCGCACGTCCCAGAGGAAGACCGCTTCGTCGTAAGAACCGCTGACCAGCATGTTGCCCTTGGGCGAGAAGGCAATCTGGTAGACGTAGTTATGGTGGCCAACGAAAGGGATCGAATGCGCTTTGCCCTATACGGCGGGGAACACTTAGTGGAGAAGAGATGTCAGATGAAGGAAGGGGGGCATACCGTCAGCACATTCCAGAGGCGGATCGTCTTGTCATCCGACCCAGACGCAATGATAGCCCCATCCGGGCTCCAGGAGATTGTCGATATTCCTGCCAGATGGCCCTCGAACGTATGCACCAGCTTTCCGGTCAACGTATCCCACACCTTGACAGCTCCGTCGGCACCTAGAAGCGATCAGCAACCGACACGGAAACATACAAATACATGTTCAAAACCCACCGCCACTAGCAATCATAGATGAGTCAGGCGAGAACCTCACGGTGGAAACCCCCCGTAAGTGACCTCGCAACAAAAACTTTTGCCGGTAATTGATCTTGTCCGGTTTGGGCGGCGGCGGCGGCGGAGGCGGAGGCACAGGCGTGGGCGACCGATCGGAATATGCTTGCTCGGGCTCTGCATCCCCTTCCCCAGGGGACTCGTTGTCGTCCAGATCGGCATCGACTTCCTCCTCATCTTGGTAGTGTTCTGATGACGGCCCCGCGGCGCTCACGTTGGAGGGTGACGAACTGCGGCCCCGGTTGCGGGAGCGCCAATACACATCAGCGTCGACTGCCAGCTCATCTGGGCTTTCCGAGCCGCTGAAACTGCGCAGGCGTGTATTTGGGCGCTTTGGGGGCAATGCTTTCTGTAAGGACCAGCTTGCGCGACGCCGTTCGGCCTCGTCGTGATCGGAGCCCGCGGCGAGTTCGTCCGATGAAGACTCCACGGGTGACTGGATGTAGCCATTTTCGCGGCTTGGAGACCGGTCCAGTCGACGGCGCTTGGAGCGGTGGTTATTCCCGTCCATCTGATCAACAATCCAGAAGGAAACAAGGGGGCGCGAGAGATTGAAGGAGAAACAAGGGCGCAGGAGGAACAATCGGCCTGAATGAATCCATCGCGAAGATGCAGAAGAATAATAATCCCCAGCCAATGAGCGACTGCAGTGACAGGGCGGTGAGTGTGCCTGATCGCGCTTTGTCGGCGTCATCCAGCAAAAGTTATTCGATGTTCACGCTGACGAAACCACTTCGATTATACCGCCTAGGCACCAAATATGACCCATCTCTAGCTGTCCAAACTACTTAATTTCTAATAATTCATATATCTCACTTCCTCTTAATCCCGCGCGGCCACCATGTCCGCCCAATCCACCGTCTACCCCTCCGACGCCCCCTCCCAGATCCGCATCTTCACCCTGAACTGCTGGGGCCTCAAATACATCGCCAAATACCGCCACGAGCGTCTCTCAGAGATCGGTCGCCAGCTGGCCCTGGCCGACCCAGCTCCCGAGATCGTCGGACTCCAAGAATGCTGGACACAACAAGACTACGAGAGCATCCGCGAGCAGACCCGTCACCTGCTCCCCTATGGCAAGTTCTACTTCGGCGGCGTGATGGGCGCGGGGCTCGCCATCCTCTCGAAATGGCCCATTGAAGAGAGCTCCATGTACGGGTATCCGCTCAACGGGCGTCCAACGGCGTTCTTCCGCGGCGACTGGTACGTCGGGAAAGGTGTTGCCTGCGCCCGTGTACGCTTCGGGCCCGGCGCCAGCGACGTCGCCGAAGTGTTCTGCACGCACCTCCACGCCCCCTACGAGAAGGAACCGAACGATTCGTACATCTGCCATCGCACCGCGCAGGCGTGGGAAATCGCGAAGTTGATGCGCGGCGCCGCGGAACGAGGCCACCTTGCCATTGGACTGGGCGACTTCAACATGGTGCCGTCGTCGTTCGCTCACCAGCTCATTCGCGCCCACAGCCCCGTGCAGGACGTATGGCAGGCGATATACCCAGACTCATCCGTGGCCGCCCCCATCGACCCCATCGAACAGAAACGAGGCAAACCGACCCCGTCAGCCGAGTTCAACCTCAATGTGAACGGCGCCACATGCGACGGCAAATTCAACACCTGGCGGTGGACCAAGGAGGACCGCAAACGGCTGGAGAAAGGGGAGGAGGTCGTTGTCGACAAGGATGGTCCCTGTTCGATGGGGAAACGGCTGGATTATATCTTCGTCGGAGATGGCGGATATCCGCCCGCCTTCCCTGCGCCCCAGTGGTCCGTCAAGTCCGTCAATATCGGTATGACACAGCGGCATCCCACGCTCCGTTGTTCGCTGAGCGATCACTTCGCCGTCGAAGCCACCATCACCCGCTCTCCTCGTCCCTCCGATGCGGACGGCTCGACAGATAATAAGCTTCCCCAGTCCGTGATTCCGAATACAGCCCTATCACCAGACACCTATGACCGTATCATCGACATGATTCACACCTATGTTCAACGTGAGCGGTCCCAGCGTCGTTGGAGACTCGCCCACTTTATTCTCTCCGTGTTCGTGTCCATTGGCTGCTTTGTCGGCGTCTGGTGGACGGGGGATCTGTCGTATGTGGCGTTTATCTTGGTTTTGGTCAGTACCTGAGCTTCGGGGCGGGAATTTTGGATGGATTGATTGGCGGGCTGTTCATGTCCAGCGAGCTGCGCGCACTTAAGGAGTTTGAATGGGAGGTGCGCAATGCGAAAGAATTGGTCGAGAGAAGCGGTGGATTTGAGAAGTCGGAATGAGTACATGCAGTATGACTGTTAATGTCTTGGGCCTTTGTATCATATTGTCTTTCTGGTTACACATAATTACTCTAAAATGTCCCACTGTTACTTACAGGACATGGCCATTTACATATGCATGTGGAATACGAGTTAACGAGTTCATTCAAATCTCAGAACTATCACATAATCATCATTCTCCTGTCATCAAAACCGTAACACAATTTGGACCACACACTCAAGCCATACGGGTGGTGAGTCATTTACTCAGCACACTCACGCTGGCGCTCGTCGAACACCTTCAAGGCCTCCTCGGCGGCCTTGACACCACTGAGAACCATGGCACCGAAGGTGGGGCCCATGCGGTTGAAGCCATCGATTTCAGACAGCTCCATACCGCCGATGATCAGGCCCTTGGTCACCTCACGGGTGTTCTTGACGATGGCATCCTCGGCCGAGTTCATGTCGAGACCACGCATGCCACCCAGCTTGTCGACGCTGCCCATAGACACCAGTCGCTTCGCACAGAAGGCACCGAATGGTCCATCGTGACCAGTGGTACTGATGATGACAGGGGCGTTGATAGTGTTGGGGTCCATGCAGGAGTGGTCGTCGTGGTGAAGGGTGACCAGCGTCCAGTTGACGACAACACCAGCAATCTGGGTGTTGCCGTCCGTAGTAGGACGGGTGATCAAGTCCTCAACGGCGGTAGCATTGAAGAGTTTGACATTGGGGAAGGAGAGAACCTTCGACATGAGAGTCGAGGTGAACAAGGAGGCATGCTTGACGACGACGTAGTTGGGGTTCGCATCCTCTTCATAAGGAACACCCAGCTCGTTCAGGAAGAGTTCCGCGGGACGGCGCATGACCATAGCAGAAAAGAGCTGGCCACCCAACCAGGCACCGCCACCTATTTCACGTTAGTTCTGGAAAGCTCAGCGCAAGACCGTCCATCGACTACTGACCAGGAGAGACGCTAGCCTCGACGATAGCAATCTTCAGGTCCGGACGAGCCTTGGCCAGGACGTACGCAGTGCTCAGACCGCAGGAACCAGCACCGACAATGACAACGTCACTCTCAGCGTACTTGTCCAGGTCCTCGAAGTAACGTCTGGTCATGGCACGAGAGACCTGACTTTCGCGGATAGGGGCGAACTTGAACTGGTCCCACTTGCCGCCGAAAAGGTCAAGCATCTTGGTCTGAGAAGCTCCCTCAACGGGGGCAGTCTCAGGAACCACGACCTTGCCCTTGAGGCTGGTAGGGGCCACAGTGTGTTCGTAGAGGGCAGCTGGGGGAGACATGTTTCAAGTTATAATGACTGTAATTTGTTAGCCAATCCATCCCCTTGGGGGACGAGGGAAGGCATGATCCTTTTCGCTGGTATTATCCAGATCAAGTTTTAGCCGTATAATCTCAGAACGAACCCAGTCCATCGATGCCATGTCCTTCCAGGCTAGGACCCTAGTCTAGGATCCAGCTTCGGGAGGACATGTGAATGCATCGATGAATGGGAACGAACACCGGCCCACGCCAAAGACGTTACCTAAGATACCTTGATCATTGAGAGTCCAGCCAAAAGCATTCCATGACTTCCATCGTATGCCCTAGAGAGGGCTGATCGAGGAGTGTATTTACATTGTCGGGTAGTTTGGGCTATAGAAGATGGTCAGCTATTCCAATCACTTAATGTTTATGTGAGGGAGGAAGACTTGTTCAGTTTTGTCCGAGGACTTTTGGAATTGGAATCTGAGATAGAAAATTGTGTGTGAGAGAGAAAAAAAGAGAAGAAGAAGGCGGGGTTGAGAAGGAGGGGTCAATTAAATAGCAAGGGTTGAGTCAACGTGATACGCGCACTATGCCGTATAGATCCGCCGACCCGAATCTATCCGTTCATTTTGCTCGTCTTTAGCTTTGGCCGGTGAGCCGGTTAAGAAACAAGTGAAATCATCCTGACATCGGCGGACGATCCTTAGCTTTTACATTTCGTTACCAATGGGATCCAGTAATCAATTGCCCGCCTGTCATATCGAGCAATGGCGGACATCCCACTGGCCGTGAAGCGATCCACCATAATATACTTTATTAACATTGACCCAAAAACAGTAGATGTCCACGACTGCCTCTCCATAATGAACCCCTAGCAAATCGTTACCCCCACTCGCACTCCATAATCCTTCGGCCAGTTCTTTTTCTTTCCGGCTTTCTCGACTTTCTCCGCCCTTTCCTGTAAGCTGTCAAGCGAGAAGGCGGCAGCAGCAACAGCATTGTTGCATTTCACTTTGAGACGCAGCAGATCGCACTCGTCTTTCTTCTTCACAACGGATTCCCATTCAGTCGCCAGTTGAATCCTCCAATGCGTGCCCGACACGCGGCCGGATGGATGCACATCTCCAATTAGGGTCGCTACCCGACCCAAGTACTGACACCACCAAGCCTCCTGCTTAGAAACACAGCGGCTCAGCTGCCGGTGGAATACTTCATCCGTGGGTGCCAGGTCCCCTGCCCAGCGCTCGCAGAGTATCAATGCAATCAGGGCACGTTCGACATGTGATAGAGTGTTCACGGATGCCAGGATGCCAGTCGTAGTACTATGCAGTGCAACAGCCGAACGCGATTCGCGCGGCACGCGGGAATGAGCAAAAAGCAGGTTTGCGAGCGCCCCAAGTAACTGAGGGGAGAACGAAACCGGTGCATGGCGAGATTCCGTAGGCGAAGACGTCGAAGGCAACGCGGCAGCCAGTAGTCCTCGAATGGCTGCATTGGATGGAGATGCATACGGCAAACTGGCCGCCAGAAGCGGATCTTGTGCGCGAACCTCCTGGGGCATCTGGTCGAAAAGGAAACCCTCCCGGACGCCTCCCTGGCAGAACTGGATGTGTGTAATGTCCGGCAAGGCGTCCATGATCACATTGACCAGGACAGCCACCGCGGGGATCTGTGAAGCCCGTCGCTTCGAGACGCCGAATATCTTCTCATCCGAGTCAGAGACCGAATCCAGAACAGACACAGTATCATGGAAGTCTCCTCTGCGCACTCGAAACCCATTAATGATGGGAATCGGATAAGGATCCACCTTATGCTGATTCATGAGCACGTAGCCCCAGCCCCGGAACCCACCACCACAGAGATATAAATCAAACCTCCCCAACGACCTCGCCGTCTCCAACAGGAACTCCGGAACCTCCAGAGCCCGATACGCCTCCTGAAAGTTGTTGATCATCTCCTGCTTCAACGCCTTCTCAGCTTTCTTCCCTTCCGCCTTCGCCTGCTCCAACCGCTTCGTCAACGCCGCCGCCCGTAAGGAAAACTGAACGACCCTGACTAGTAGTCACGACCCAT